CCCATCCATCCATCTCTCCCTCCCTCCCTCCCTCCCTCCACCCCTTCCTACCTCCCAATCCATTCCTTCCCTCCCTCCTACCTGGCTATACCTTTTTGGACAGTTCTAGGAAGAACAGCTTAGCAAGATCAGCAATTCTCTTGTCCTTATCGTTTAGACATGTTGCCATCTCACTAATGTTGCCTTTGACTTCGACCCCTTTCTCCCAATATATCCCTTTCCTCCCTTCCCTGGCAATACCTTTTTAGACAGTTCTAGGAAGAACAGCTTAGCAAGATCAGCAATCCTCTTGTCCTTATCTTCTAGACATGTTGCCATCTCACTAATGTTGCCTTTGACTTTGACCATGTCGTTGAGAATCAAGTGAGTCAGGACCATCATGGTGTTCTTACGCACATGTGGCGAGTCCTCCCGTAGCCTGCAAACAACAGCAACTGATGTTCAGTCGAAGATACTATATTTATTGTTTTAAAATTGTCAACTTTTGGAACTCAATACTGCTGTTGGTGTTGTTACTTCTGCTGTTTTTGTTGCTGTTGAGGGTGTTGCTATTGAAGCAGTTGTTATTGTTGTTGGTGTTGTTACAGCTGCTATTGTTGGTGCTGCTGCAGCTGCTGTTGCTGTTGTTGCTGCTGCTTCTCTTGTTGTTGCTACTCAATGCTTGACGTTGCTATTATTGCTGTTGATATTGTTGGTGTTGCTGATGTTGCTAATTGCTGATGGTGGTTTTGCTGCTTTTTTATGTTGGTGTCGTTGTCACTGTCTGTTGTTTTAACCTACCTGGCATACAGATGAGAGGTCCAAGGTTCTAGCAGGTTAGGGAACCTAAATGTCAGATCACCAACAGCTATGATGGTATTAGCGCGAATGTTTGCCTGTGGAGACTAAGCACGGATCACCATATTAGAACTGCAATAAAACTTGGTTTAATGACATGTTGGAAATTCATTCGCTAAACTGTAAGAAAAGAGCGGGAAACTTTGCCTTTCGAGAGATGGTACACGCGTCTATCGGAATAACCGAAAAGAGCGGGAAACTTTGTCTTTCGAGAGATGGTACACGCGTCTACCGAAAGAACCAAAAAGAGCGGGAAAAGTGGATTACCTTCAATCGCAAGAACGAGTTTTCCGAAACTTTCCGATTGGAATGTTGCATACCATCGGTTTTTTATCCGGAATTTACAGGTAAATAATAAGCACCCCAGTTTACGTCAGTAAAATTCCTCACTTCAGTTGTTCTACTTATCAAAAATAGTAGACTTAATAGGCATTATTTACCTTTTCTAGAATCGTGAACAATAACTGAAGATGGCCCTCACAGAATTGAGAACTGAAAATAGAAAGCGCATAATAAAAGAGTAAAATTGAAGGCATGTTTAAGGCTATTACAGTCTGTCCATAAGATTTGCAAGCCAATAATAGCGTGTATACCATATATCCGTGAAAAAAAGTTGTAAGAAAGTGCACAAGTTTGCACAAATTAGTAAGTCCAATAGACCGTACACCTACGAAACTTTACACTAATTTGTACGATTTTCTTTGCTAACTTTTTCACCGATATATGGTATGTACTCTAATCAGAGATAACATACACTTTGCTCTTCTTATGCTTACCTGACCATCATAAATTTAGCCAAAGCCAGTGCAGCAGCGGCCTGTAGGCTGTGGTCATTGAACTTGGTTGGGTTACTGCATACACAGACCAGCAGTGGACGCAGAAGAGCTAGAAGGTTTTGACCTGTCAATCAAATCAAAATTCAACCAATCAGAATCGATAACATTCAGTGACTGTACTGGAGCTATGTTGAAGGTAGTTCTGAAAATGATACCATTTTTGGATCTCTTTTTCTTTTTTTGTCACGGTAAGAAAGACACGATATTGATTAAACCAATCACAGCGCGTCTGACCACTGTTCTACCAATCAACAAATGCTTGGACAAGGTACCGTCACGGTAACGCTATAGACGATATTCATTGAACCAATCACAACGGTGCCTCATCACTGTTCTACCAATCAAAATACTGGGACGCGGTACCGGTCACGGTCATGGGAATTCCGCGCCACATTTCACAGTCATACAAAATCTGCCCTGCTTTTTGGCGGCCTTTTACCATTTTTACCTGTTACTATATCTTGTTCACATATGTTCCTGATGTACTCAGTCTCGACATCATCTGATGTGGCACCCGTCAGGCCCATCTCTTCCTCAGCTGTTTCAGTAGTCGTCGTATCCTGGATCACAACGAGAAAACTCACACATCAATGGACTAATTCGACGATAATATTAACAGCTAAACCACAAGAGAATACAACAAAAATGAATCAAGACGGCACATCGATCACCTTGGCCCTTAAAAGAAAGACAAACACATGAAACTATATATACCCGGCAAGATGGCCGCTTAACCAATCAAAGCGCGCTAAATATTGTGGCTAAGTCATAAAAGTATGTTGTTACCTTTGTAGTATTTGTAATCGTGTTATTACTTCTTAAATATTCCGCAAGATGGCCGCTTAACCAATCAAAGCGCG